TGTAAAAGATTTAATAATACAGCTTCTTGAAAACATCGGCTTTCCATTGTCTGTTGTCTGCAAAGGTCTTTTACTGCCCAGGTAGAACTTAGTATGTAACGCACACTGGTGTGGAATCTGTGATCCTCCTACCTCTCACTACAGTTTCACCACGCCCAGCTAGGAATAAGGTTCTCAAAAGGTGTTTCAAAAGTGAAAAGTGGGGGGGGGGGGTAAAGATGACTCAGATATTAAAAGTCCTTGCAGTTTTGGGTTCCCAGTACCCACAAGGCCTCTCACATCTACCTGTAACTCCAGTTCTGCGGCTCCAGCATTCTTTGCTCTCTGAGGCTACCTCCACATATGTGATGCATATGGATATACACAAAACAAACATATAAGTGAAAGCAAAAACTGTTGAAAAGCACTCAGTGAAATTCATGCATGTTGGGATTAACTCAGTTATACATTCGACATATAATTACATGTCCTAACACCTAACATAGGATCCAACAACTCTCTTAATGAAGGGTACCAAACGTATATTTGTATATGCATGTATCAGTATCACTCTGCTGCAGAATATTTGATCACACTGTGAACCCCAAGACTGTGTTCTTTTGTTAAAAAAAAAAAAGAGCCACTTTATGGTTAGCTCACCCCTAACACACCCCTTTTGTCCAAGAGCTAAATAAAGTCAACCTGCTAGTTCAGAGATGCAGAGAAAGCACCCAACTAAGCTTCCTACTCCACTGACCTCCCAGAAGAAAAAGGCTCCTGCAGCTGTCTTAAATCCCTTCCATTCAAAGAACTCCCTCTCTGTTTTCTTATGTTCACTCCCTGTCAGCGGGTTGCCTGTTCCTCCTCTTGACATACGGTTGACTTTATTTAGCTCTTAGATTAAAGGTGTGTGTTAGGGCTGAGCCACACCACACATACTTGTTTACAGTAAACAGAAAGTTCTAGGATCAGTTCACATTCTCAGGGTTCACAATATGACCAAATATCCTGTAACATCACTCAGAATACCCACGAGTTAATAAAAGAATATGGTAAACATGCAATATAATATAATTCAGACTTAAAAATGATTCTCTGGGAGCTGGAAAGATGGTTCCAAAGTTAAATGTTTGCTAACCTTCCAGAGGACCCAAGTTTGGTTTCCAGCATCCACATGGCAGCTCACGACTATCCATAACTTTGATTACATGGGATATAAAACTCTCTTTTGGCCTCTGAGGGCACTAGTCACACACAATAGTACAAATACATACAAGTAGGCTAAACATTCATACACATAATAAAATAAGTGAAGTTTTTAAATATTTTTCTGGCATGTGCTAGAACCCAGATAAACCTTAGACATATTTTACTAAAAATGGCATCAGGCAGTCAGAGAAGGACAACCATGTATGACTGCACTTACACGAGGCAGTGGCATTGCACAATTCGGGAGCAGGAAGCAGAGCTACAGCCAGTGATGTATATCTGTAAATACAACCCTCAGTAAGCCGAAGCTGCAGGATCATAAGCTTGGAGCTAAGGAAACCCAGGCTCTAAAAGTTTAAAAGCCAATTTTTTAAAAAGTTATAGTTGTGAGTAACTAAGAGGGAGAAACAAATGCCAGAAATTACTCAGAGGGTTCAGAATCTCAGTTCAAAGAACCAAAAAAGTTCTACAGGCAGATAAAGAAGCACAGTGGTCCACACCATCACTAGAACTGTAAGCCGTGACAACATGCCTCGCACATCCAAGGCTGAAGATGTGAGCCCCAGCAACACAAAGAAAAACACATCACAGGCAGATACTTATTTTATGGTTGGATGTCAGCATGCCAATAAAATACTTTAGCTACATCATATACTAAGAATTTTAACAGTGGAAAAAATTAAACGTACATACACAGAAACTATACTTAAAAAATACATTAAGAAATTGTTTCACCCTGTATTCCAAAGTAGTCAGCTGCTAATGGGACTTTGTCCCCATGTTGTGTTTCCTAGCTAAATATTGATTTTGTGGTTGAAAGAACAAAAAATGCAGGAAATTAAAATTATTTATGGAGGGGATGACAGCAGAGGCACAAACTACAAGCTAGAATTTCCAATGGAGGGTTAAAACTGCAATCAAATTCAAAATTTCAGGCCAGTGTCTAAAATGAAAAGACCATGGATTCTGCTCATTGATCCCATGTGGACACTGAAGAAAAAGAACTTGAATTTGAAGAAAAATAAGGCAATTTAAGGAAGGCAGCAATCTTTAAGCTCTGCTCTGGGAAGCCCTCTCTATCGTTTTGTAGCTAAGGTAAAGCTGCTTGTGTTTTCACGTAGGAGACTTTCTCCTCTAGACCCTCAGGAGTCTGCGCCCTGATAGTGAACATTGTTCTTCTGAAAGAGAAATAACAGTGCTGACATGACGCTCCCGTGTCACATGACACTTCACAAAGCACCTTCTATCTGTGAAAGGCACAGCTTACACAGTTGAATGCCACCCAGAAAATAAGGACTAATCACTGGGTAGTTATCATTCTATCTAAATTCAGGGGAAAAGCTTACGGCTTGGGAAGCATTAACTAAGCGTGGTGGCTTCCTTGACAACAGTGTTTCAACCTTACGTGCTACACCGTATTTTCCATCAAGAAGGAGTCTTCTGCACCTGTCTTCAATTTTAATGTGAAAAAATTCTGAAACCTGGTAGCTAATGTTTCAAAACAGCTACATACATACATACATACATACATACATACATACATTCATACTTACAATCTACAGACACTATGGCAGAGGTGTCTCAAACTAGATAAATATTTTAATAATAAAGATACTAACAAGGAAGTTGATGGAATTTTATTTTTAATAAACATTTTGAGCCTTAGACAAAATTAAATTTCAATTTTTTCCACTTTATTTCATAATTGAAAATTAATTATCTTGAAAGTGGAATTAGTGTCATATAATACTGATGCATCATGGTTTATACACTATACAATTTTCTCTTTAAAGAAAAGTTTTGAGGAGAAAGAATCTGGCAGCTGCCCAGGATGGCTTCCAGTTCCTGAGCAGTCAATATGCTGTCCCAGCCTCCAGAGTAGTTAGGACTAGAAGCTTGTGTCACTTTTAAAAGGAAAGTAAGCACAAAACACACTTGTGGTTTACTTTCCAGTGACGCATGATGGGAAGTGTACAGTTCAGGATGCTTTCACTGTCTAGTATGGCAAGTTCCTACTCCAGGGTTAATGAATGAGAAAACTCAAATGGAGTAACCTTGTAAACTACCTAGTTCTCACACCAGGCCCTCCTACAGACCCTTAATAATGACAGCATCAGTTCAGTATTGGGAAAGAAACCATGTGAGGAAAACCTCAGAAGTCTAGTGATCATGACCACTTCAGACAAAGGACATGTCACCTGAAATCATAAATATGCCCTGTGCAGAGTGTGTGACACATCTTTTTCTCATCTCTGTATGTAGGATATATGTGTGGCACACTCATGTGTCCAAATGTGTGCACAGCACTTGCATGAGGTCATAGGACAACATCCAGTGTCTCTCCTGGATTCTACTTTGCTTGTTTGAGTTAGGGTCTCCTGTTCACCATACTCCATAACAGCCTAGCTATCACAGAAACTCCCTAGGAGTCTCCTGTCTGCCTATCATGCTGTTGCTGCACTGGGATTACAGACTAGTGTGTCAGGCTTTACATGGGTTCTGGGGATCTGCCAAACTTAGGTCCACACAACACCAACCACTTTACAAACTGAGCCATCTCCCCAGCCCTTTCTAAAACGTCATTAATGAATTGGTATAAGCCAATAACTATACTACAGAACCCATGTACTCTTCCTAAGTGCATCAAAGAATTTTCAGTGCCATCAATGAAATTCAGATTGCAAGCAGAACTAACAGATTCAAGAGAACTAACAAAGTTCTAAGCAAGTCAAAGGTCTCAGAAGCAGCAGCTATCCTACTCCCTCTCCTCTGCATATTACCACTTGATTTCTATTTCCTACTGACTTGTTTTCTAAGAGCACTGATGAAGTCAGCTTCTTATGTCAACATGTAAGACTGTATCCAAGTGTGGTGAATACTGGACTACCCACCTGTGATCCCAGCACTCAGGAGAATGACAGAGTCCAATGCCAGCCTGAGCTAATGAGACCTCAGCTTGAAAATAAAACAAGTTGCCACAACAGAGCTCTAACTGAAAAATACTATAATCACACAGCCCTAAATCAGCAAGAGAAAAGTCTATAATTTAATAGACACTGCATCATACAACCCCTCCAAAGAAACTGACTATTCTTTTACACAATTGTTCCTTCTGTAATAGTACCATTTCCCTCTAAGGGAATACAGGAGAAGGGGATTTTTTTTTTTTTTTTGAGAAACACTGTCTGGCTGTTCGCAAGTATACAAACTGCTAGAATAATATCTACAAAAATGAGCAGCCTCCAGGACAACTGCCACACGTTCCTGTTGATGTATGAGAATACTGAACAAGTGTCACTGAACAACTATTTCCGATAAATTTGCTCAATTTCTGGCAGTTAACTCTTACTCCTATTATCAGCTGCCAAACACTGTGAAGATACCTTGCCCAGGCAAAATGAAAAGGATAAGCTTTCAAAATGGTACTGACATCTTTCTCTGTAGGCTGTACGGGGCTCACTTAGTAATTTTGAATTAGAGTATCAAGAGAAAGTGAACTTTGTATCTATTCCATAATTACGGATGCTTAAAGTTTCATTCGTGGGGTTAGTTTTATATTAACCGAGTTGCAGGGGGAAAAAAATCTCAGGGTTAGCTTGTAAACACTGACAGACTTCAATGTTGTCAACAATTTCCAAAAGCTAAGAGGTGAAGCTTTGCCAAATAGTATCCACTATGTATCTTTTCCAGGACTAAATGAATACTTTAGGAAGACGTCAGCGATTGCAAAGCTAGTTCAATTCCATTATCAAGCAGCCTTACATACACCAAATAGCTACTGAGCAGCATTCAGTCAGCTTTGTCTAACTTACTAGCAGGCGCTGAGCAATTCAGTTTCACAATGCAGCCTACTTTACTCTAAGCAGGAAAACCCAGCTCTATGCCTCCTGCGGATCATGAGGGCCATGGATTAAGGGCATCTTCCCTGGTTGAGTGCAGCTGTAGTCATTTGCTTGCCTAATGGCCTTTTGCCATTTTGTCGTTGGGGTTTGTAGAGCGGGTCCGATGGAATGTGGGACAATCGTCTCACGCACGACGCGTGACTTCCATTGTCAATCAATCCTCGGGCTGGAAGGAAACTACAAGTTAGGACGCGCGCTCCTAAGTCGCTCGCATTTGCACAGCGCGTAGTGCCCGCAGCCCGGGCCCCACAGCCGAGATCCCGGAGCTCCGGGAACCGTCACGCCTCTCCCCGAACCACACTGACCTGCGCGTTCGTGGGCCCTGCTCCTGAGGCGGCCTCCACCACAGGCCCGGTCGCGCCCACTGGGCGGCCGTCACTCACGCGGGCCGCTCTCACGAAGACGCCCCGGGGATCCCGAGAGGGAACCAGGCGGAACCCAAGGATCCACGGTCAGGAGCAAGGAGGACCCTGGTCAGGAGCGCGCCAGAAATGTTGGCGCCGAGCCCAGCACGTGACCCCCTCGCGGGGACACGCCCCTTTAAACCACGCCTCCTTCCGAACTAGGACTAACTGGCCACCTCCGCCAGGGGGCGGAGCCTCTCCCTCCTTTCTCCCAAAGCAGCTAGACCTGGTTAGGGGAAGGTAGGGATAAAATTAATACTGAGTTAATACTGTGAGGAGTCCTTATTAAACAGATACATTACCCGGAAGTCTAAAGCTATATTTTTAGTTTTTACTTTGGTTGTTACTAGACTCATGTAAACTTAATTGGCCACACCTCCCTCATTTTGTTCTCACACTTGAGAGACTAGCCTTAACACATCAGACAGATGTGACCATTGTAAGCTAGGGGTACATGAAGGTTGCACAGAAGTAAGATTTTACAAATGTCCTTCCTCTCTACGAAGTAGTCTCTGATAAAGAACCTACCTTTTCACACTAGTGTGTCTGACCAGTCTAGCCAGAGGAGTTACCACATAGTCTATAACACCAAGGTTCAAACTCATATAATTGCATCTTTAAAAAGATTTATACATATACTCAAAGAACAGGAAATTACAAGCTTGTTAACATTTCAACTTTCAAAAGTTTGCAAAGGGACTTAACAGACATAATTGTTTGTGGTGAAAAATTAACAAGCATCATTTTTAAATTTGAAAAGGCTATAGTTCTTGAAGTCTGTTCAGGTCTGGAAACTTGTACTGAAAACCAGTTACAGGCAAGTTGCTCACTAGAGTGTGACACATTTCATGTGCCTGACACATATGACAGGTCTTTACCAATGAGTTCTTTGGAGAACACAAGCAACCTGTTCTGCAGGCTGATATCTTATCCTAAAAAAACAGGCACTTAACTAATGCAATGTCTCAATTGCAAAATCTAGGATAACTTCAGCAGTTATATTTGTCTAGAAGAAACCCTGGGGCTTTAAAAAAAAATGTTGAACCATCTTAAGTAAACATTTTATGGGGAGATTTAACTATATTCACTGCAGCTAAGACATCAACATCAGACCAAAGCAATGATTTTACCAAAGTCCAGCTCCGTGAACCAATGAATTGGACTTACATGAGCAGGAGTTAGGGGTTACTTACACAAATGTGAATGACTACAAAACAGCCACATCACTAAAAAAATCAACCCAGCATGGAATATCACTACTTCCTCTATAGTGCATAGATCAGTGGTTCTCAACCTGTGGATTGTGAGCCCTTTGGAAAACCTCTATCTTCAAAAATATTTACATTATGATTCATAACAGGAACAAAAGTACAGTTATAAAGTAGCAACAAAAATAATATTATGGTTGAGGGTCATCACAACACGAGGAACTATATTAAAGGGTCACAGCGTTAGGAAGGTTGAGAAGCACTGGTGTAGATAGACTTGGACACTTGGATGACGATTCAGCTTCTACATATCTAGCAGCATTTGAAAGTATATGCGCCAGGCGGTGGTGGCGCATACCTTTAATCCCGCACTGGGGAGGCAGAGGCAGGCGGATTTCTGAGTTCAAGGCCAGCCTGGTCTATAGAGTGAGTTCCAGGACAGCCAGGACTACACAGAGAAACCCTGTCTCGAAAAAACCAAAAGAAAGAGAGAGAGAGAGAGAGAGAGAGAGAGAGAGAGAGAGAGAGAGAGAATATGCAGCTGGGACAGAATCATGTGCAGCTAGGAGAGAGAGATAGGAAAGAGAAGCAGGGCCTCAGATGAACATCCGAGGCCATTCTCTTATCCTCCTGCTGGGGGTGGTTCCAGCTACTGTGATTAAAATGGTAATGACTGTTATGATGACACTGTCTAAAACACAACTTCACAGCCAAAATAAAAGGTGACTTGAAATAATTTCTCACATGATTCTGACTGTGATGCTTTGATGCCTTGAGTTCACCGAGTGTTCATTTCTAAGTCTCTGCTTCACTGTGTAAACAGCAATCTTAGTCCATGGCAGGGTGAAGCATTCTGTTCTTGATAGCATTACTAATTGTACTGTATTCTTACAAAGTTTTTTGGTATTCGTATAAAGAATAAGAATGGAGTAACTTGTTAGTCACTTTTCTATGGTTCTGATAAGACACCATGGCCAAGGCAACTTATAGAAGAAAGATTTAATTGAGGCTATGGTTCCAGAGTTCATGGCAGCAGGGAAGCATGGCAGCCAGCTGTAGGCTTGGTGACTGGAGCCCAGGCTGAGAGCATGAATCTTGAACCACAAGCATGAAGCAGGTGAAACAACTGGAAATGAGGGGAATCTCTTCATCCCTAAAGCCTGCCTTTAGTGATATAGACCATACTTCCTATATGACCCCAAACAGTGCCACCGACTGGGGACCAAATATATGACCCTATCAGCTGGCATCCTCATTTAAACCACCATATTTGCTACTCTTCTGGAAAACTCAGCTTCTATTCCCAGTACCCATGTTAGCTGACTCACAACCACCTATAATACCAGTTCAGGGGATTTGAGGCTTTTCTGAGTTTGTGGTCACATAAACTCTCATGTGAGTTTACATACCCACGTTCCCGTACCATACACATAGTCAAGCATAATCTTAAGAAAACAAGTATTTTTTAAAGGCTAGGGAAAGATATCACCTTATCATTTTCTTTATTGGACAGATTTTTAAAACTCAGAATGTTAATGTAATAGAATTAATTATTCTAAAACATCGCTTGCTCTGTGATATTTAGAATGACTCTGTATTGTCCAGTCAGGAGCCACCAGCCATATGAAGCTATGTGTAATAAATTTTAATTTTAGCTTTAAAGTTAAGCAGCAGTTAAGTTTATAGTTAAGGGCTATAAGTTGTCATTTCAGACAGAAAAGTTCCATAAGTACAATCACTACGCTGTCCCCAGTTGTAGCATACTCCATTTGGAGATGCATTGATCAGATATACACCCTCTCAGCAATGTATGTTAGAATGGAGATGCAGCCTATATGAGAACTGGAAGCTCTGGAGAGACAGGAAGAGGACTCATGGCCATGCTGTCCCCATGCTTACCTGGCCTGGACTGAAAAGTCAACCAGAGAACTCGAGTTATCCTCATCACCACCACCATCATCAACATCACAGTGGATTTCATCAGATTTGGCATTACCTGTTTCAGACAAGACTTGACTTGGATTCTTTGTTTTGACTCAAGCCACATAGAAACCATGCTTCTCTCCCACTATCCTCCCGCCCACATCCCTGTGAGTCTTTCCAGAATAGGAGCCTCTGCAGATCCAGTACCTAAGACTGAGTCCTTCTGCTCTGCCTTAACTGCTGAAGAATGCACCCGGTATGTGGCATGGATTTAGAATATGCCCCTGGTGCCAATGTGACTTTGAAGCTTTACAGAAACATGTTGAAGGCTTCTTAAGTCTTATTTAAAAAGAAGGTATTATGGCCTGAGACCTCAGGGAGCACTTTAGGTAATCAATGCCTGGAATGCTGTAGGTCAGATGTCATCAGGTAAATCCAGATACATTGTTGACTTGGAGGAAATTAACCATCCAGATGCTGCATACTAAAGATTTTTTAGTTAATATTTACTTCTGACTATCAAACTATGAGGTCTTGGGGAACAGGGGGACTTTTTCTTTTAAAAGGTGATGATCCATTTGGCTTTTTTTTTCATTTTTGCCATTGTCCCAGTTTATTTAATAACTGAAAGAAGCTAATATGTCTTACAATATTAGTTTATTTGCACCAGGTATAATGGCACATGCCTTTAACTCCAGTACTCTGGAGACAGAGGCCAGCATATCTCTGTGAATGTTAGACCAGCCTGGTTCATGTAGTGATTTTCAAGCCACCCATGGCTTCATAGTGAAACCCTATTTTTAAAAAGAAATATTAAATAGATATTGAATAGTTTGGACCTGCACTTGAATCTGTACCTGTCTCTTTTCTTGGGGTTCTGTCACAGATGTCTCAGCAATGGCTTTCTGTCAATGATCCATGTTTGCTGGCTCTCAACGTGAAAAGTCTAGACAGGCCCCTACACCTGTAGAGTTCATGTGATGAGGCTGAGCAAGGGTGCTTCTTCAGATCTAAGAAAGAGGGGGTCTACAGGCTTCCATGGTGACACTGCTAAGAAAAACACATTCATGAGAGGGAGCAGAGGGTGGGAAGGCATTACTTCACATGAAACTGAGCTCTGGATGATATTTCCAAGCCTTGCCTTTCACGTTTCCCTTCATTCATCACAAGTGTACCTGGCTTTCCCAGCCATGACTGTCCAGCAAGCAGTGTGCCTAATGGCTGGCTGGCCCTCAGAAAATCTGCCTGATCACTGTTCTCATTCCTTTGTCCCTTTTTGATACACAGTCTCATATAGGCCACTCATGATGTAGCTGGGGATGACCTTAATCCAGTCCATGAGACTGTGCCACCATATCTAGTTTATGCAGTGCTGGGAATTGAAATCAGAGCTTTATGAATGCTGGATACTCCTCTCCTGACTGGCCTACATCTACAGCTGCTTGACTCC